AAGGGCATGTACCTGGGTTGCGGGCACATCCCCAGTGGGAGATGTACAGGAGGCAGCTGATCGATGTTTCTCTCTCATCGATGTTTCTAACTCTCTATCTCTCTCCCTTTCTCTCTGTAAAAAATCAATAAAATATATTAAAAAAAAAAGAATTTTGACAAAGTATAAACCAATGTAATTATTACTCCAGTCAAGATATAGCACATTTTATTACCCCAGAAGGTTCCCTGGGGCTCCTTTCCTATTAGTCCTTTGTCTCCACAGTGACATCGATGACTAATTACCAGACTTCTCTTCAGATTACTTCCAAGCAAGTTTCCATATTTCTTTTTTTTAAATATATTTTATTAATTTTTTACAGAGAGAAAGGGAGAAGGATAGAGAGTCAGAAACATCGATGAGAGAGAAACATGGATCAGCTGCCTCCTGCACACCCCCCACTGGGGATGTGCCTGCAACAAGGTACATGCCCTTGACTGGAATCGAACCTGGGACCCATGAGTCCACTGGCCGACACTCTATCCACTGAGCCAAACCAGTTAGGGCCCATATTTCTTTTTTTGTATCCTCACCCAAGTCTATTTTTTTCTCATTGTTTTGTAGAGGGAGTGGAAGGGAGAAAGAGAGAGAAACATCAATGTAGAGAGACACATAGATTTGTTCCCTCTCCCATGAACCATGACTGGGACCAGGGATCAAATCTGAAACCCATGTATATGCCCTTGACCAGGAATCAAACCCATGACCCTTTAGTGTGCAGGACAATGCTCTAACCATTTAGCAACACTGGCCAGGACTGTTCCTATATTTCTTAAACATCATAGTCCCATATATGCAAGAAAAAAAAAACATATGAAAGAAAATGGTAACTGTGATTAAGTGGTAGAAATTGAGGGAAGGGGTATTTTGTTCCAACATTTGCTCAGTTTTCTACAGACATGAATTTATGTTTAGACTTTAATATTAAAATTAAATATAATTTTTGTTTTAACCAGAGAATTACAACCATGAAAATAGAACCCAGAGCAGAATGACAGGAAGGAAATGTACCAATATTTTAGTAGTGGTTCTTTCTGATAATTAGAGTCATGGGTATTTTTATTTCTTCTTTTTCTGTCAAATTTAAAAATACTCATTTATTACACCTATAATAGACAAAACACCCATACTACTTATGTCAAAAAACTGCTTTAGCCCTAACTGGTTTGGCTCAGTGGATAGAGCGTCGGCCTGCGGACTGAAGGATCCCGGGTTCGATTCTGGTCAAGGGCATGTACCTAGCTTGCAGGCACATCCCTAGTAGGGGGTGTGCAGGAGGCAGCTGATCGATGTTTCTCTCTCATCGATGTTTCTAACTCTCTATCCCTCTCCCTTCCTCTCTGTAAAAAATCAATAAAATATAAAAAAAAAAAACTGCTTTAATATGTTTGAGGAAACAAACAATCTGGGAATTCAAGTCCATTAATTGCCAAATGCCCTCTTATTTTACTCTAAGAAGTTGCCTTTTGTTTTTTGAAATAAACTTTTTGTTGTTCAGTAGAGGCCCAGTGCATGGATTCGGATTCATGCACTAGTGGGGTCCCTCAGGCTGGCCTGTGCCCTTTTGCAATCCGGGACCCCTTGGGGGATGTCAGACTACTGGTTTCGGCCTGATCCCCACCTGGGGATCGAAACCAGCAATCCGACATCCCCCAAAGGATGTAGTAGTGCGTGAAGTGGCAGGCAGCAAGGGAGGAGCCTGAGCCCGGGTCGGGCGCCACACCGCTCCCACTCATCCTGGACCCACTGCACCTGCCGCTGCTGCTGCTTGGTAGCACTGCCATGGAGGTGAGAGAGGCTTGCACCGCTGCAGCTGCACTTGCCAGCTGTGAGCCCGGAGTCTGGTGCCTGTTGGTCAGCTGAGTGGTGCTCCAACTGTGGGAGTGCACTGACCACCACGGGGCAGCTCCTGTGTTGAGCATCTGCCCTCTGGTGGTTAGTGCATGTCATAGGGACCGGTCAACTGGTCATTTGGTCACTTAGGCTTTTATATATATAGATAGTATTACAGATATCTTCCCTTCCCCCTCTACTTCCATCTTCCCAGCCCCTACCCACCCCACTATGTCTTCACTGCCCTATTGCACATATCCATGGGCTATGCATAGCTATATATATAAAAGCCCAGCAACCAGAGTGGCAGAATGACCAGAATGAACAGAATGACTGGTGGCTATGACGCCCACTGCATCAGCCAACCAGCCTGATCCAGGCCCTAATTGCCCCCTCCCCCGGCCGGCCCCACCCTTGATCGGCCCCCAACACCCTGATTGGGGGCAGGGCTGGCTGGCCAACTGCCTGCAGCCCCCTCCTCCCCAGCCAGTCCAGCCCTATGGGCCCCCATCAGGGCGGGCCAGCCAGACTCCACCCATGCATGAATTTGTGCACCAGGCCTCTAGTAAGTATATAAGTTCTTTGGTTTATCTCTTCTTGTGCCCTGTCATGTCACTTTTAACCTCTGCTCTGGACAGTTCCTCAGTCTCTCCTTGGTATTTGGAAAGATTACTAGCCAGTTATTTTGTATAATGTTCCTAAATTTGGGTTTGCCTGATATTTTTTCATAATTATTTTTGGGATATGCATCTTTTATAGAAATATTATAGAGGTGATCTTATGTTCTTTGCATTGCATCCTATCAGGTGCCATTCAATTTTAATTTGTACATTATTGATGATACCATTTGATTAAGGTGGTGTCTGCAAGGCTACTCCAATGAAAGTTAATTTTTTCCCATTTATAATTAATGATTATTTTGTGGGGAGGTAGTTTGAAACCTGATAATATTCATTATCACACTTTCTGCTTATGTCTTTATATCAGTATGGCTTCCTTTTAAACTCCATTTTCATTGTTTATTTTGATATTCAGATGTTTTCATATTTGGTCAATGGGGACCTCTTCATGCTACCTCTTGTCGCATGCTGTTATATTTCTGTCATTGTTTGAAATGGTTTATGTTCATGGTAAACTTTTTCTACCTCAGTCCTGCAACTAGACATTTTTTCAAAGAGCCCTAGTTCATTTAGTGTTAAATGGTATTTTGTAATTAAAATCTTTAAAAATTGAGATATGATTGACACATAACATATTAGTTTCAGGTATACAACATAATTATTATTTATATCTATTGTGCAGTGATCACCACAAGTCTAGTTAAGATTTATTACTACACATCATCATTTTTTTGTACCAGAACTCCTAAGATTTATTTTCTTAGCAATTTTCAAATACACAGGTAAGTACTAATTATAGTCACCATGCTGCACATTACATTCCCAAACTTATTTATCTTGTAACTGGAAGTTTGTAATTTTTGACCATCTTTTTTACCTCTGTGCCTACTTCTCACCTCCTATCTCTGGCAACCACCAATCTCTTCTCTGTATCGATGAGTGTTTTTGTTTTTTATTTTAGATTCCACATATAAGTGAAATCATATGATATTTGTCTTTCTCTGTCTGACTAATTTTACTTAGTATATTGCCCTCAAGGTCAATATGTTGTCTCAGATGGCAAGATTTTCTTCTTATGGCTAAATAATATCCCATTGAACACGTGTGTATCACATTTTCTTTTTCCATTCATCCGTCAGTGAACTCTTAGATCCTTCCCCTGTCTTGGCTGTTGTAAATGATGCTGCATTGAACATAGGGGTGCACGTATCTTTTGACGTTTGTGTTTTTGTTGCCTTCAGATAAAGAGCCAGAAGCTGGATCATATGGTAGCTCTATCTTTACTTGTCTGAGGAACCTCCGTACTGTTTTCCACAGGCTGCATTAATTTTCATTCCCAACAGTGAAGTAATTGATATTTTGATGCCAATATTTATATGCTAGGTGTGCTCATTGCTTTTTCTTTTCAGTTATCTTTGCTTCTAAGTCCTTTCAGTGAACTGACCTAAAGAAAATATGTATATGTATGTGTGTGTGCGCACGCGCATTCGTGTGTACATGTGTATACTGTGGTTGCCACATTTATCACAATAGAGCATTAATTGAATGATAGAAAAACATCCAAAGATGCAGTTGAAGATAAAATTTTCTTAATGACCATGGACATGGAAATGCAGAAATGGAAATATAGAAATAGTGCTGGAGAGAATACAGGATGCTCTGAAACATGGTTAAACTTCCCAGATGCCCAGCCTCCCCTCATGCGCATGCACATGATAGAATCACCCACAGGAGAGAAGGGCTGTTCACTGTAAGAAGCTCTGACATTATTTATGGGTTAGGAGTGGGTGAGAGGAATCTCACTCTCCCACACACCTCACTCTCTGAAGACTCTGAAGACTTCCCGCCCATTCAGTGAGGTGCAAAACAAGCCCAGTAAGTTCTGCAGTGTTTTCTGTGAGTCTGGGTTAAGCAAAGGTTGGTGAGTATCTTCCAGTGGCCCAGATTTCTCTCTTTGTTTCAATGAAAGTGTAGATCATAACCACACTTTGCACTTAATTACAAGATAGTTTGGGTTGTTATGAAATTCCTGGCTTAGATATGAAAAAGCCATTAGAGCAAAAATTTTTAAATGGTTTTCTTTTAGAATGAAAAAAATATAAATATTAAGGTTTTATTTTCCCTCTAACCCAGATAATTTAAAAAGTCATCTGTTTTTTCAATTCTTTGAAATAAAGTCTAGTTCTAGCTTCTTTCCTTTAATCTTGACAACCGCTTTTTTTCTTTTTGTATCTTAGAATTTTATGCTACACCATTCTGATATTTTCCTGATCTCATCTTGCCTTTGAGGCAGGTGGATATAATCTTGCTTTCTTAGATTGTTATTCCTGTTGTAATTTTAGAATTGGCACTACCTACAGCGGGGGTGTTTAAAGGTGTAGTGTTCCCAAATTGGTTTTGAGGTCTGTATGTCCTTCTGTGCTGGGGAAACACAGATTCATGCCCTGGGATGCACAGCTCTATGCAATTGATGACGATTGCCTTTCTGTTCCATTTTTGTCGTCACAGGGAAAGTCTTGCATGAGGAACATATTGAGCTCTTGATGGAGGAGTTTTCGTTCCTGAAAAAAGAAGTTGTGGGGAAAGACCTGCTGAAAGGATCTCTTCTCTTCACAGGTCAGTTTTAGGTGGGATCACAGGTCACGTGTAGCTGGTGGGGCCAGGATGCCAGATGGTTATTTCCTAGCTCTCTAGAGGGTGAGCGTGGATTTATTTCTACTAAAGACTCTCTGACTGAGGCCAGTTTAATTTATTATGCACCTACAAACAATAAAAATATCTAATTTTTCTTTCTGTTCTCAAATGAGACTGAATTGCTTGGTGTGCTTGGGTAAAAAGTGTATTAGAAATCGTAAGCATTGTTATGCCACTGTCCCCGTCTACTAAGCAGAGTTTTGCCTCATGAAATCCTAACAAACTGGAGATTATTTTTTCACAGGAAGTTGAACGTGAAACCTCTCTTTTAAAAAAGGATGGAGGGAAAGGTTCTTGGAGAGGAGAATGTCTCTTTGTGGAGCAAATAGAATATGCTGTCCCCCCTTTCCTCCCACAAGTTACAGGGACATTGACTGTGACCAAAATTTGGATCTACAGTACTATATATTTGTCTGGTTACTCTATCTTGGTAGTTCTTCAAGCACCTCCATTAGTAATAGGAAATGAGCCTCCTGGAGCCGCCTCCTCTTGTAGTCGCCTTTGGGTGGACACCTTGTCTTTCCACACCCTTATCTGGGTTCCTTGTCTGGTCACCTTCCCTGAGAGCTTTCATGAAAGAAATAAAACCCTGATTCAGCCTGGCATTGCTCTTTTCCCCCATTTCTCAATTGGCAAAAATGTATGGGTGGACCTGGTGATTATTATGCTGAATCAAACAAACCAGTCAGACAAATTCAAATCCAATATGATCTCACTTACTAATATATATGGAGTCTAATGATTGATTGAGTAGGTAGTGATTTTTTAAAAATAAATTTTATTGATTTTTTACAAAGAGGAAGGGAGAGGGAGAGAAAGTTAGAAACATTGATGAGAGAGAAACATCGATCAGCTGCCTCCTGCACACCTCCTACTGGGGATGTGCCTGCAACCAAGGTACATGCCTTTGACCAGAATCGAACCTGGGACCTTTTAGTCCGCAGGCCGATGCTCTATCCACTGAGCCAAACCAGTTAGGGCAGAGTAGGTAGTGATTTTTAAATTTATCTTTTTTTGTTTGTTTCTATTAAAAATTTTTAATGTAGATATTGCAGGTGTCCCCCTCCCCACCCCCTTTGCCCACCTCTACACCCCGACTCCCCATCCCTTGTGCTTCATCAAACTATTGTCTGAGTCCATGGGATATATATATTATATATAATATATATGTGTGTGTGTATGTGTGTGTATATATATATATATATGTGTGTGTGTGTGTGTGTGTGTGTGTGTGTGTGTATATATATATATATATATATATATATATATATATATATTCTTTAGTTAATTCCTTTATCTTCTTTAGACAGTCACTCCCACCCACACCCCCTCAGATGTCAGCCAGTATGTTCTGTGTGTCCATGCTTCTGATTCCATTTTGTTCCTTGGTTAATTTTGTTGCTTAGATTCCACATATTAGAGAGATCTTATAGCATTTGTCTTCCTTTGACTGGCTTATTTGGCTTAGCATAATAATCTCCAGGTCCACCCATGCTGTCCCAAAGGATAACAGTTCCTTCTTTTATATAGCCACATTGTGTAAATGTACCATAGCTTTTTTATCCACTCATCTACTGATGGGCACTTAGGCTGTTTCTAGATCTTGACTATTGTAAACAATGCTGTTATAAACATGGGGATGCAAAAATTCTGATTGGTGTTTTAGGATTCTTAGCATATATTCCCAGAAGTGGGATCACTGGGTCAACAGACAATTCCATTTTTAATTTTTGAGGAAACTCCATACTGTTTACCACAGTGACTACTCCAGTCTTCATTCCCACCAGCAGTGCACAAGGGTTCCCTTTTCTCCACATCCTCGCCAGTACTTGTTTCTTAATTTATTGATAGTGGCCATTCTGACAGGTGTGAGGTGGTACCTCATTGTAGTTTTAATTTGCATCTCTCTGATGATTACTGACTTTGAGTATTTTTTTTTTTTCACATTTCTATTGGCTATGTGCATGTCCTCTTTGGAGAAGTGTCTATTCAGGTCCTTTGCCCATTTTTTAATTGGATTGTTTGTCTTCTTGATGTTGAATTGTATACGTTCTTTATATATTTTGGAAATTAACCCCTTATTGGATGTATCCTTCGTACATATAGTCTCACATACAGTGGGTTCCCTTTTCATTGTGTCAATGGTTTCTTTTGCTATGCAGCTTTTTAGCTTGTTGTGCTCCCATATGTTTATATTTTCCTGAGTTAAATTTATTCCTAGGTACATTATTTTTATTGTTGTTGTAGTAAATAGAGTTGTTTTCTTAGTTTCTCTTTTTGACAATTCATTATTGGTGTATAAAAATGACATTGCTTTCTGGATGTTACTTTTGTATCCTGCAACTTTGTCAAATTTATTTATTAGTTCTAGAAGTTTTGGGTGGAGTCTTTAGGATTTTATATATACAAAATCATGTTTTCTGCAAATAAAAACAGTTTTACTTGCTCCTTTCCCACTTGGATGTCTTTTATTTCTTCTTGTCTATTCGCTGTGGCTAGGACTTCCAGTACTATGTCGAATAAGTATGAAAAAGGTGGACATCCCTGTCTTGTTTCTGATCTTAAGGGAAATACTTTTAATTTTTGCCCATTGAGTATGATATTGGCTATAGGTTTTTCATATATGACCTTTATTATGATGAGGTATGATCCCTCTCTTCCTACTTCGCTGAGAGTGTTTATCATATACTAGAGACCCGGTGCACGGGTTCGTGCAGTGAGGTCCCTCGGCCTGGCCTGTGCCCTCTTGCAATCTGGGACCTCTTGGGGGATGTCGGACTTCAGGTTTCAGCCTGATCCCCGCAGGCCAGGCCGAGGGACCCCACTGGAGCATGAATCCATGCACCAGGCCTCTAGTTTGGTTAATCTCTTCCTGCTCTTCCCCCTCCCCCCTTCACTCTGAGATTCATCAGTCTGTTCCATTCTTCCATCCCTGTGCATTGAGTGTCTGCCCCCTGGTGGTCAGTGTGCATGATAGCTACTGGTCAAATTGTTGAGTGGTTACTTTAGGCTTTTATATATATAGATGGGGGCTAGATTTTATTGAATGCTTTTCTATATCTAATGATATGATCGTGTCATTTTTATATTTCATTTTGTTTATGTGATGTATCACATTTATTGATTTGTGGATATAGTACCAACCTTGAATCTCCAGAATAAATCTCACTTGATAATGGTGTATTATTTTTTAATGTATTACTGGATCTGATTTGCTAATAGTTTTTGAGGGCTTTTGTATCAATGTTCATCAGGGATACTGGCCTACTGAGAGGCCTGTTGCATGAAGAGATTCGTGCAATAGGCGTTCCTTTCCCCTGGCTGCTGGCACCGGTTTTCCTCCGGCACCTGGCACCCAGGCCTTCGCTCTGGCCGGGCTCCAGCCGGAGCTGCCCCAGAGCTGTGAGGCTTCGCTGCTCCACTGGCCGCAGGGCCGTGAGTCTTCCCTGTTCCGTCGGCTTTCGCTGCTCCACTGGCCCTGGGGCCATGAGGCTTCACTCCATCGCTTGGAGCCTATGTATGCAAATTAGCCGCCATCTTTGTTAGTGGTTAATATGCATATCACGCTGATTAGCCAATGGGAGGTGTAGCGAAGGTATGGTCAATTACCATCTTTGTCTATTATTAGGTAAGATAATTTTCTTTTTCTGTAGTGTCTTTATCTGGTTTTGGTATTAGGATAATGTTGGCCTCATAAAACGATCTTGGAAGTCTCCCCTCCTCTTGAATTTTTGGAATAATTTGAGGAGGATTGCTATTAGTTCTTCTTTGAATGATTGGTGAAATTCTCCCTTGGAGCCATTTGGTCTAGGGCTTTGGTCTCCCAGAGGTTTATCGATTCGTCCTTAGATTCCATTAGTTGTTATTGGTCTATTCAGGTGTTCAGCTTCTTCATGATACAATTTTGGAAGGTTGTGTGTTTCTAGGAATTTGTCCATTTTACCCAGCTTGTCTATTTTCTTGACATAGTGTTATTCATAATATTTTTTACAATCATTTTGGTTTCTGTGATGTCTGTGGTTACCTCTTCGTTTTATTTCTGATTATATTTATTTGGCTCTGATCTCTTTGTTTCTTGATGAATCAGGCTAAAGGTTCATTAATCTTTTATATCCTTTCAAATAACCAGCTCTTGGTTTCATTGATCTTTTATATTGTTTTTTAGTTTCTATGTCATTTATTTCTTCTCTGACCTTTATTATTTCCTTCCTTCTATATACTTTCTTTGGACTGTTCTGAGGTTTTTTACCCCACAATTATTTTAGATGTAGGATTAGATTGTTTTCTAGATATTTTACTTACTTACTGAGGTAGGCCTGTAATTCTATGAACTTCCCTCTCAGGACTGCTTTCGCTGTGTCCCATAGGTATTTGGATGGTTGTGTGTTCATTTTTATTTGTGTCCAGGTAATTTTTTTATTTCTTCCTTGATCTTATTAGTACTCAATTTATTATTTAAGAACATGCTACTTAACCTACATGTATTTCAATATTTTTGATATATTTTTTTTAAATCATGGTTGAATTCTATTTCAATGCCATTGTGGTCAGAGAAGATGCTTGCGATAATTACAATCTTCTTAAATTTATTGAGACTTCTTTTGTGTCCTAACATGTGGTCTGTCTTTGAGAATGTTCTATGTGTACTTGAGAATATTTTGCTGATTTGGGATGAAATGTTTTAATTAAATCAATTAAATCCTGATCTAGTGTGTCATTTAAGGTCGCTGTTTCCTTGTTGACATTTTCTCTGGAAGATCTATCCATTGATGACAGTAGGATTTAAAGTCTACTACTATGATTGTATTGCAGTTGATTTCTTCTTTAAAGTCCACCAAAAGCCTTAGCCAGTTAGCTTAATGGATAGAGTGTTGGCCTGCGAACTGAAGGATCCCAGGTTTGATTCTTGTCAAGGGCTCAGG